TAAATAAGACTGTGGCAGGCTTAAAAGAGACTGTGGTAGGCTTAAACGAGACTGTGGCAGGCCCAAACGAGACTGTGGCAGGCTTAAACGAGACTGTGGCAGGCTTAAACGAGACTGTGGCAGGCCCAAACGAGACTGTGGCAGGCTTAAACGAGACTGTGGCAGGCTTAAACAAGACTGTGGCAGGCCCAAATCAGACTGTGGTAGGCCCAAACGAGACTGTGGCGGGCATGTACATAATCAATAATGCACTTGTGGCACATCTGAATTATATTCCATTAACACATAAATTTTATTGTGATGGATTTCTATATGCTATAATACATGATTTATAGACTTTATTGACTTTATAATGACTAGGCAATGTGATGGACCTATTTATTTTTATTAGAAGTTAAATTAATCCACTTATGCTATGAAACAGCAAGTGTGTGTCGAAATGATGAATTTATCTTTATTTTAAAAGTTTCAAGTCCCCCCTGATCATCATTGTTGTTCGATAATGTAGCGGACATATTGTTTAATTTGCGACCGGTCTAACAAGGGAGTACCAATATGGCGGCTGGTGGCTTCATTTCAACCCCATTCTACCAATGGGCAATTAGCAATGCAGTGAATAAATAGAGATCAGTGGTTGTGGCTGGTTCAGTGTTAGAGTAGATGCTCCATGTGCGGAGGCTATAGTCCCTGATCCGATTGTCCTTGGTTTGTTTCCTGTTCTTGCTTCATTAGCTGCATGTCCTTCCTGCTCTCTCCACCCTCATACCTGTCAGATTCAAGGTTGGCTAAATATGGGGGCCAGAGGGGCAGACGCCCCCTCAGAGCTGGTCTGATGGAAGACAGAACTTTCTCATCTCTCTGTCCATTCTGTGCTGTGAGCTCAGCAGAACCCTCAGCTTCCATGCATGCTGCAGTTTATTTGTGGGGATCAGAATAAGTGTTTCATAGATCATTTTAGTTCATCTCAGCAGTGATGGTAGAGAAACGCTAAAATCTCCTCTGCAGCTCCCAGTTTGAAATGGTTTCTGTGGTCCAGTCTGACTGTGCTCCATCTCAGCTCACTGGCTGAACTCCTCCTCCCTCCACAGTTAATCTCATCTAGGATGAGCTTCATCTTCAGGTTAATAAAATGAAGGATCTCAGAACAAAGCTGGAAGAATCATTCTGGTTAGAGATCTACAAAAAAACTCCCGATGAAGCCAGTTCCTTCTAACTGGGAGCCTCATTAATCCCAGTTTGGATCAATAATATACAGAAACTAGTCAGGCAGCAAAGAGAGTATTGTGACTGAGCATCTGGTCCTCTGTCTGTGGTGGGCCTCCATGACCATCTTCAGCTTCAATAGGACAGCCCCACCCTGTTGGTAGTGAACTGTTTCAGTGATGAAGAAATGTCTCCACAGACTGAGGAAGATAGGTGAAACCCAGTGTGGAGAAAGAGCCAGAGCTGGACCAGTGACAACCAGTCAGAACAGCTGTGCAGCAGGTAAGACTGAACATCTCCCATTAACAGCTTCCTTCAATCATCTCTGTTGAACTCTGACAACAGATCACTGATTACAGGATAGATATTTATATTTACCACATGGAATTATTTAAATAATATGTTGTTTCAGTCAGAAACTAAAACTCCTCACTAAAACTAAGAAAGTGGAGAACATCAGCAGAGTTCTAAAGTCGTTCTACTGGCTCCCATATCTCACAGAATAGACTTTAAAATACCTCTGTTAGTGTATAAATTACGGAATGAATTAGCAGAGTGGTTCAGGTTGTAGAAGTAGCCCAGTTACATTACAGTAACTTGTTATCAGTGGATCAACAGCCAGACCCCTCAGGTCTACTGGATCAGAACCAGAACTAAACATGCAGAAGCAGCTTTTAGTTATATAGCTCCAGAAATTTTAGCAAACTCCCCAAAAACTGAAGTACTGATACCCTCAACCTCTTTAAATCAACATTAAAATACTTTTTTTCCCTCAGAGTTGCCATAGACTGAGCTATCTAACCTGTTAAATGGATCACCAGGCTTTTGAGTTTTTGCTGGGTTCCCCCCTGTGACCCTGCTGGGTTGTGAGAACACCTATTTATTACAGAAAATATATTATTTATTTAATTTATTTTACTTAGAATTTAAGTACATGGGAGTGTTAATTATTGTTAAACAGTTTAAAGACACTAACTTAAAGGTGAAGCAATGAAGCAACATTGAAAACACATCTAATAGGTATAAAACATTAAATGCTTCTGGCGAATCACAAAATTCCCTTTCAAATGAGGTTCGACTGACTTGCACTGTTGATGCAGATTATTATAAACAAATACTAGGATGCTTCTTATTTTAATGATCAGCATTATGCTATTGCTGAGCTCGATGTAGCGGCTTGGTGGCTCCAAGCAGTTCCTGCAGCTTTGCCCAGTTCACAGCTGATTAGGGTAGAGGTACAGTGTGCAGGAACAGGGGGACTCAAGGGCTTTAATAGTTTGAGTTTTTGTTTTCTGCAAGTTTAAGGATTTCCTGGTTGGACGATGTAATGACCTCCTAGCTTAGATACCTTGGTATAAAACTATTAGTTTTCTGTAAATAATGAAGGTTTCCTTCAAACACACCCCTCACTGAGAATATCAGAAATAGTTTTTATTCTTTGTTTGGCTGAAATGTTTCATCTCATTTCTTTGTTTCTTCATTCAGATGTTGATGGTCAATGTCAATGTGACCTTAAAGTATCTCTGAAGAAGAAGTTTGAATGTGTCTCTGAAGGCGTTACTAAAGCTGGAAAGAAAACCTTTCTGGATGAGATCTACACAGAGCTCCACATCACAGAGGGAAAGACTAGAGTGGTCAATGATGAACATGAGGTCAGAAGGATTGAAGCATCATTCTGGGAACAAAACAGGCCAGGAAAACCAATCAGACCAGAAGAAATCTTCAATCCACCTGGAGAAAGGGGTCAGATCAGAACCGTGATGACAATGGGCGTGGCTGGCATTGGGAAAACAGTCTTAACACAGAAGTTCACTCTGGACTGGGCTGAAGGCAAAACCAACCAGAACATCCAGTTCATATTTCCATTCACCTTCAGAGAGCTGAATGTGCTGAAAGGGAAAAAGTTCAGCTTGGTGGAACTTGTTCATCACTTCTTCACTGAAACC